ATGAGGAATGCTGCTGACCTCAAGGCCAAGACGAAGACTGCGATGGAAAAGACCCTTTGCTCACATTTGTACGCGCCAACGGAAACTCCGGTCAAGTTCGCACCCACTGTTTTCATGAACCTTCACCTATACAAATAATATGCCAAAAGGTGTGTTACATGCATCAACCGAGCTCTGAATGTATCTTCCATCAGTGATCAGTCAAAGATGGGTCTTCCATAAACTCCCATGGCCCTGATTCAGCGCCCTATCTCAGGGCATCCGCGCTGGCATCTGGAGAAGCTGCTGGGAAGCGTCCAACCTGCACATAAATACAAGGTTAACTGTGAGTGGTGCAGTAATGCATTTGCAATATTTATTTCTGGGATCAAGTCAAGGTCCTTGGAGAAAGGACTAAAGAAGAAGTTCAAAGATGCAGCTGAGAAAGAGGGATCGTGAGACTCATGAGATTGATCTGTAGTCTCGGATTTTGAAGCCCTTGTGTTACAGCAACACTTGGTGGACACCATGCGCATTATTGCGGAGTCACTCTTGCAGGGTGGTCATGGCAAGTTGAGGAAAACGATCTCATTTGAGCTGTGTGACCCAATCGAGATGGGGTTCAATACATGTCTTCTTTTCGCTTTTGTTGTGGGGCTGTCTGGTGTACAACTCAATATGATTTGGACAGAGATGGTGAGCACTTCTTGGCCTTTGTCTTCTAATTCACTTCCCGCACAAATGACCCATCCACCGTGCAGCTGTCCCCAGCCCCTTCTGGCCTTACTGGTGTCCCATGCCATTTGCGGGCCAGGTCAAGAACCTGAGTTGCGTGGGTTTGCCCGAATGGTCGGGCGTGGCGCCTGATCCTCAGGCCTTATAAAAAATAGAGAGACCCATATACATATAGGAGGTTAGGGGCAACCACGGGTGGAAAGCCAAACATGTTTTTAGCTATACATGTATGTGCTGAATCTGTACTCTCAATTGTGGGTGGCATGCTGCAGCCAATTTTTGGGGGTCAAGCAACCGGCAAATGTTTGATCAAACTGGGTCCGGTTGTGTCTCTCATGGCAGCTGGTTCCACGGGTTTCTGCGTTTATGAAGAAGAACTTCGAGACTTGTTGACTTATGACTGCCCTGTCACCGGAAGAAAGCGGTGTCCTCCTTATAGTGATGAATGGATGGGGATCAACAAAACCCGCAAGACTCTCAGATGCACAAAGCAGTGCTTGCCAAACATAAGCTTTAAAACAGTTCGCTGCCATGCGTGCATTTTTTTAGTGGAGACTTTGGATGTGTCATCTGTCTCTAGGTGTGCCTCTCACCAAGATGAAGCTGTTGTCCATGCTCCATGTCTCGATCACAAGAACCTTTTTGCACATATGGGGCACCTGTTTTACTTGTGACCTGTTGTTCATTGGAACCGGTTTTACTTGAGGTATCAATACCGATGCAAAAATATGTACGTCAGGTGAATGGGGGCCAAACTGCAATGAGACAACCCTTGTGTGAGCTGAGCCTTCAAGTTCACCAACCATGCCTGAAGCCAACTGCTGATTTGAACCTGCTAGAACAGGTCTGCCACGACTATGGCATCAGTGTTTCGTACCCGGATTCCTCGAAGCGGCTCAAAGCCACGGCGGGTACAATTTTACAAAGTTGCGCTAGTCGTGTCTCCCAATTCCGAAACAAGATGAACCGGGACCTTTGTGTGTACAAGTTGGGTATCACAGCGTATCCCCCTGTCAGGTTTCTTTTCTACAAGGAGGCCAACTATACTCACATGACTTTGCTCCATGTGACAGAGAATCTGGGGGTAGCGCAAATGCTCGAGGCATCCCTGATATCATCCAATTTGGGTCAACTGGGGTGTCGCAATGAGCGGCTTGGGGGTGAAGGCCCTCCAAATTCAGAAAATGAAAGGTACCACTTTGTTTACATCGTGGGTGCCCGTGCAGATTGCATGAAGCCAATTGGATGAGGACTTATATAGAGCTGCCTCTCTGTAATTCGAAAACTATATTCCTTGGAGATCCCCAAGTGCGTCTGTATTCAAAAAAGATACTGTATCGGATCGTGATCAGCTGGAGAGTATGCAAACCCTATATATGACACCATTAATTCACAATGGTGTTCTTGTTTGATTGTTTCGCGCGCTGAACTTTTTGTGGGTTTCTGCCACATCTCTCTCTATATATATATATCGATATATATATATAGAGGAATAACCATTATACTGGATATATCTATATATATAGACATATGTTTCTCTGTGCTTGTCTACCTTTAGAAAACTTAAGCCGGTATATCTATACATCCATCGATCGTACTCGTTCCGAGGTCTCATGCCGAGACGCCATCCGCCAGGCGAGGGTGACCCGAGTGAAGTCGAAGGGTCTTCAAGCGCTTCGAGATGTGAATCTAAAGCATAGTGAGAATGGCGCGCACCGAGTCTTTCGGACATTTGGACAATCCCTGCCGGTGAAGATAAGCAAGACAGATGTGGAGAGCATGAAGGACTTTCCATATGTGAGATTTTCCTCCTGGATGAAATACTTAATCGAGGAGGACTACATGGAGCATTTGGTGGGCGTTTCAGATTTGGCAGAAATGAAGAAGACCCTCACACTGTTTTGGAAGCGCTACCAAATGTCAAACCCAAACCACAGAATGTTCCACAGCGACACTGGAGCAGCCTGCCATCCCGAGGTCACGATCCCGATTCTCCACCACGGGGACGAGGGGCGATCCCACAAGAAGAAGCAAATCATGATACTGAGCTTGGTAGGCATTCTAGGCCGCGGAACTTCCCGATGCAACCGCTCCACTGATGAAGGGTCGGCAATGGACGAGTCATCACCGTTGCATCTGAGTATGCTGGGGGACAGTCTGCAGAACCACTTTTTGTTTGCGGCTCTTCCCATCAAGCTGTACAACCAAACTGATTCCTTATACCAGGTCCTTTCATTGATGGGCGATGAGATGGACGCGCTGTTCAACCAAGGGGTTCTCATTGGTCAGCAAAGATACTTTGTAGCGATGCTGGGAGTCAAAGGTGATTCCCCGTATTTGGCGAAGTCGGGTCGGTTTGAGCGTACGTTTTGTCGAAGACCCACAAAGCATATCAGCCAAAGTCTGTGCATCGGAATATGCCACCGCTGCCTAGCTGGAAGAGAAGGCTGGGTAGTGGACCTACCGTATGAGGAATTTGGCGCAGAGTTTCCTACTTGGTCAATCACAGAGGCTCTAGAGAAGCCACATGTAGTTCCTTCACCACTCCTTCGGGTCCCTTTCCTGAAAGAGGATGCTGACGACGGCGATTTGTCATTCTGGCAGTTCGACCTGTTTCATAACATACATCTTGGAATGGGAAAGAATTTCATTTCCAGTGCTGTATGTATATGCATTGAACTCTTGGACGGTAGCTTGGAGCGTGCCTTCCAAAGCTTGACACTGGATTTCCAGTAGTACTGTCGCAGCAACCACGAAAGCCCATACCACAAAAAGCTTTCTCCATCCCTCTTTGGTGTGGACAGCGGGTTCAACCAGACTCCAGAAGCAGGGTGGAGCAAGGGAGACTTCACAAGGTTGGTCCTGAAGTGGTTTGAAGACTATGCCAAGAGGGAGGTCCTCGGCAAAACTCAAGATCCCATTTGTCTTGCTTGCGTTGCTCTCTTTAATGTTGAAGCATTTTGTTGTGTTTTTACATTCCTGTTCATCCAGTCCAGGAGTTGTAAATGCACAATCGCCTGAAAATCTGACTCGGTCCCTGAATGCGCGTGCCAAGGTTGAAGCGACACAGGCCATCAATGAGTGCCTCTCAGGGCTTTACAGCGAGGGATTGTTTCTGAAGGCTGAGCGAGCTGAATTTTTAGCCCGGCGGGGCTTGAAATTTTTAGAGAAGTATTCCCAGTTGGCATTGATGTGCTTCAGGGTTGGTAAGCGGCGATTCCCTTTGATCCCTAAGGGACATTACTGCCATCATCAATTCCTTGACCTTCTTCGGGAGTCAAGGAAAGGCCAGTGGTGTCTTAACACCTTGGCGTACTCAAACCAAATGGCTGAGGACTTCGTGGGGAAGTCCTCACGAGTTTCAAGGCGAGTTTCACCACGGACTACCTCGCTCCGAGTAATTCAGAGACTTTTCCTTTTGATGAGGGATGCAAATTCATCACTTTATGCAGGTGGCAAGGTTGAGATTTAAGGCTGATGCGCTTGACGCTCTGGGTTGTCACTTCCCTTTCACTCATATATATACTCAAACAATCTCAAATACATATGGATATATCATTGTTGTTTATACAAATGGTCGAGATGAGTAGCTGCTGATCACGATGTTGCATATGCATATTTATATGTATATGCACGTTTTATTGTTTTTGCAGTGGTAATATGTTCAGGTATGAATTAGCGGTGTTGTAATACCAATTGAAAGATAGCCCAGGATGTCTCAGGCCGAGGCTCTTCTCTGTGCATCTTCAGCTTGCGGGTCACCGCGTTGAGCCGACGGAGAGTGTGGCAGGGAAAGGGAGAACTGGGTGGGAGGAGTGAGGTGCTTGGTGTGTAAGGGACCTTTATAACCCCAATGCTGACTGGACCTTGCAAACAGTCATGATTGAAAACCGGGTTTCTATGCATCACCATTCCACGACCCAAAAAAACATGGTTGCAACATAAAACCTTTCTTTTTCATGGTTTCCTGTGCTCCTGGATGTTAGTGAGTCGGAGTATACAGTACAGGACGCCAAATGACACCAGTAGTACATCAACACACGAGCCAATGCAGCAAATCAATCAATCCAGGTGGCTGAGCAACATAGCCAGCCTGAAAACCCGAATCAAAGCATTGCTTTGTCACTGTCATCCTCCAGATCCTACCCTTTAAACCAATCCCTTTCCAGCAAACCACTCAGGAACAATGGTTTAAAGCGAGGAAATGCGAGGAACACTCTTATTCCATTGGACCTTTCCTTCCCTTCCTTCACTCCTCCCCTTCGAGACATCGAAGTGTTCCTCACCTGCATGAGCTTCTGCACGGTTTCAAGCTCAATGGTGCGTAGCAAGCGCATGCAAGCTAAGAACCTCAGGGAGAACCACATCGGGGCTGGACAAACTTCAAAAGGAGAACGACCGCAAACCGCATGAGCTTCTGTGTCGCACCACTTGCAAAACACCCCCCCACACCGTAGGTGAAAGGACTTTTCTTGAAACCTGATGAGAAGTAGGTTCAGAACGCATCGGAGTAGGGATGGGCATCCTCAAACCCACACCTCGCCAACCCAAACGCTTCAAAAAGCCATTGGTCACTCAAAACCTAGGGATTTGAGACCCCATACCCCAGACCCCTCCATACGAGGGTCTGATCCCTCTATATGAGGGTCCAGCGTCTGGAAGAACACAAACCCAGTTTTTCTGCTGATTCTCTACCCAGGTGACGAAGTTCACCTGGCAAACATCACCGCCTCTTGAGGAATGTGTGGCAACCGCCCATTAAATGCTTGGCAACTTAAAAGGATCAAACTACAAACGCAAAACAGCGGGAAACACATCCGGCGTCTCAGTGGACTCCTTGTCACCCCGGACGACTTGCGGACTGACGAACCAACAAATCATCCGAAAGTTGTTGGATTCTAAGCATGACACGTTGGCTTTTCGATCTGGGCTGTGTGTAGTTGTCGCAAGGTCCTGGGGTCCCTGTGATTCTCTCCATGATGAGTCGACGCACCACACCCTGCGCCAGCAACACCCCTCAGCCAGCAAAACCTCTCGCACACGCACAGGTCTTCTTTTTGCGCATGGTCCGGGGAGTGTGGCCTCAGTGGACTGAAAGAAGAGAAAAAAGGGCCTGGGGCGAGTAGAAGAGTACCCATAGATGGCCTGGGGCGAGTAGAGCAATTGTGAGATATTTCACAACAGGTCCACAAAAACTCTCCATGGCCAGCGGAGTTTTGGGTTGGCTGGCTCCAGCGTTCGTGGGGAATCAGCTTGCATTGACCCAAGGCCTGTGCAACCATCGTGCCTGACTCAGTCAGCTAGCCCCAAGGTCCAAGTTTGAACAGCATAGCCAGGCATGCAACTGCGGATCTCGGATGCTCATGGTCTGTAGACTGCCACTCGCAGTTCTGATCCCAAACAAAAATGCCGAACAGAGTCAGAGTGCACGACGTGTTCCAGCACAAATCTCAACTCTGCTTCCAATTTCCGGTCAACTCGGCAAAAAATTGCGTTTCATCTTGCGAAGAACATGTGGATACTGCGACTGATAACCTGATTGCCCTTAACCGGCCCCAAACCCAACATGTTGGACTACGAACCACCCAGACGATTGCCTTCGCAACTGAATTGAAGACGTCATTTGGATGCTGCAGTTCACCACCAACTGGTCCCGGCGAACATTCTTCCTAGGTGTAATCCGCTTTCCCCATGTTCCCCCCCGTCAATAGGAGGGCACAATCCCTTAGAACCTCCCAACCCAAAGTGGAACCTGAGCATCGCCGTGAGTGCTTGAGGTTGCTTTTTCCAAATGGACTTGGATCCTTCGCACTTCCACAGTGCGGCCCCCTGCATCCTGCCTGGCCGAGAGGCTCCGAACCGTCGAAGGCGCCGAGGCCGTCGAGGAGGACTTCGCCCGACTCCACCTGGCACGACCACCCACACCGGTCGTCCCAGAGGGAGGGAAGTCGGGGCCGGTCAGGGCCGTTTATGCGTTTGGAAGGTTAAGACGACCGCTGCAGACTTCAAGTCTCCGCTTCAGCGGGTTGGACTGCTCAGTTCGGTCCCATGGTCTCCCCGAATCCCAGGAGTGAAAGAACAACTCATTGTCATTTCTTATAGACAAAAAGAGTCAAGGCGTCTAACTATCTCGAATTCACCAAACTTTAACTTGATAATGTATATACATATATATGTATGGAGACAAGCTGGAGTCAGCACAACAACCTTCACACTGAGATCGGACAAATAACACACAGAAAAAAAAATATTTGAAAGACCAAAAAGCCCCAGCCACTTAGATAGTATAATTACTCTTTTGATGCCTTCATCCAGGAATCCATGGGTCCATGAGCATATATATATATATAATAAGCATATATATATATATAATATGTTTTTTCTGATTGTTTACTGTGACCTTTGAAACCTGCCTCGTGGGCCAACCCGGTAACCCCGGGTGCTGGACTTGTCCCATCTCCACCTGTTGGTTCTCCACCACAGGGCTCCTGGCCAGCAGCTTCCGTGCCTCTCGCACCCGTGAATGCCAGGACTCCTGGACGCAGCATGCAGCCACACCAGGAGCCAGCAGGACCCTAGAAAGATTGGGACATGACCCTATACATGTTTTCTTTCATATGTTTTCTATAAGGTACTTTGGAGGGTCCAGGTAGTCTCCCAAGTGGCGGGATGCGAACGAAGCAGTGGTAGTGACCGTCTTTTGGGGTGGCCTGGTGAGATCAACACGGACCGGTCCGCTTGAGTCCGCTCAAGAACAAGCAGGGAACCATGAAGGGCACATAGTTGTGGTCTAACTAGGCTAAACCCACAGGCCAGGTCAACGAAACACTAAGCGATTCTGCCAAGTTTGGAGCCCTTGCCTGGACCCTTGTGGCGGGTGAGATTGGCATAGATTGGCACTGGTCTACACTGTATTTGCTCTCCAGGCAGCCGGGAAATATAAAGCATTGAACGCATTCCCCAGTTACGTGGATTCACCCACAGTGACCCAACAAAAACCACCTTAAGCAAAAACATGTAAACCCTCCAAATGTGTCTCCGATTGGGACTGGCCCTCTTTACACCCACCCCAGTCCCACCTTCGAACAAAGGTAGCTGAAGCTCAAGGGAAAGGCGTGGTGTTCTGTTAGCCCGGCCACACTACTTCTGAGAAGGTGTTTGGGGTTGGTTTGGAGGGTCCAAATACCTTCTCAAGAGATACTTGGAGGCCGGGCCTAATATAACAAATACAGCAGGAGCCGCTGTCCTCCACGCTGGTGCAGTACTCCAAGCCTGTGCACACAGCAAGGATGAAGGCCTTTCCCCGATCCAAACCACGAGATTGGCAAGGATCTTTGGGCTCACCACCAAATCTCACGGTGATTAACTATCAGAATTGTGGCAGCTGTGTAGCAATTGCAATGCTCCCATCTTGACGTGGAGAAGGTTTCTTCTCGCTTCGAGCAGCCCTTCTCCCCACGATTGACAGTCTGCCATGACCGCTTCGAGCACTTGAGCTATGGCATTGCTATGGCCTCCCACCTGGTCAAAGAATACCAGGTTGGGATCCAAATTGACATCACTGAGGCCGAGTCATGAATACTATATAACTATAGTTCTAATTAGAGGCTTGGGCACACTAACCCTTGCATCCATGTCTTGATCCTAGTCACGTCATTGGAACCTCCGAAGCGGATCCACCAAGACCCGGTGTCGCAGGGGGTCATCCACCTGCGGATTCGGCTTCCCCATTCCGCTCGTCCCCCCCACAACAACAACAACAACAACAACAACAACAACAACAACAACTTGGATTTGCTTCCAAAGCCGGAACAAAAACCAACAAACCATCATCTTCCTGGAGTCTGGAGTCTCATACCCTTACAGCATGAAAACACGTATCTGTTCCTTAGATTCTGGACATGTCCCATTTTTCAAGAGTACTTCAAGTCGGGTCCTTGTTCTCCAATGCGAAGAGGACTCCAAACCTGGAACAGCTAGGCTCTACATGTGTTTTTTTTCACCCGGACGTTGCACCCTACGCACTCCACTCCGACTTCACCGGTCCGCCGTCCGGCGCCTTCGAGCACCTCCATCGTCCGCCGCAGCAGCCGGAAGACGTCGCCCTCGCCCAGGCGTCCCGCAGAGTCGACCAATGGACGCCAGGCACAAGTGGTGGAGGCCCAGCGGCGGACAAGGCGAAAGGCGTCCAAGGAGAGGGGCAAGGGTTCCTGGGCGGTTGGCCCATGTGGATTTGGGAGAGATGTTGGGATGTGACGTGCTTTTCGATCGTTTTTGAGCATTTGGGGTGTGATGTTTAACAAGTTACATTAAGTATATGCATGGTTTACGCGCATGGGACTCTATATAAACCAGCAGGAGCTTTACGTCAAACAGCGGGCACTCTGATCTGTTTTAGGCCCTGAGTGTCCATCAAGAAAAACATGTTGATGCAAATGCACTGATACCATTTTCCCGCTTTTGCAGCAAACCACATTTTTCCATTTCCAAGCATTACTTTATTGAAGAAAGTGGAGGTCCTTAATTTCTATGTTCATTTCATTAGGGAATGTTCCACATTATATAAATCTCTTATTGTATTTTATCTTTTTGCTCCTTAAGGAAACATTTTCCTAAAATCCACCAACTATAAAATATGTGTGCTAGTGGATGACCCCAAAAGCATAGTATAAATTTATAAACTAAATGCTGTTGCGCACATGTGTTTATGATCTAAATGAATAACCGACCTCCCACAAACAAATAAGACTGGAGGGACCACCGCGGTTCCACGAATATCGGGGGTGCATCTACCCCTCTAGAGCTTAAAGTATTGTTTTTACTAGTGGTTTCTGCACTCTGTGTACATGTTTCTTTAAGGATGGGTTTGTTCAAGTTAATCGTACACATGTGATATTTTTGTTGCTTTCACAAGTCAAGGTTAAGACATGTCGGAAAAGCTTAGTCATCCAACGTTGCAATCAACCCCACAACACTGAGCAGTTTTTGAAATGAGCAACGTCATGTAGTTCACAGTCAAACTGCAGGTGATTTCGATGAATTGCTTCAATCTCACGTTCGTAAACACAGGATTTGAACTACCAGGAGTCATCTCTTGGAAGTTCTTTTCACGTGCTCAATTCATCTCATCCTTCACGGTCTTCCGCCCCTCACCCGCGCCCCTCGGACAATCGGACGATCGGACGAGATATCGGTCGGAACAATCTCTGACGGTTTTCCCCGTCGGCCGTGCCATGCAACAAATCTGGCTTCCCAAGTCGTCTGTGTCCGTGGTGAAACTTTGGTTCTGGGAAGGAGTGTTTTAGTGTGAAAGGGTAGGACTTTGGCTCAATCCTTACCAGTGGTGAGGCCATTCGTTCGGATCGTCCGAAGCGTGCATGATATTGTGAAAGGGTGTTCATGTTTATAGTGGGTTGAGAGTAAATGGCACAATCCCCAAGTTTGGTGGTTTTATATTGACCCCTATATAAAAGACCTCTTGGGGTGCCAGTGCCATCTACTCTCTGGCTCCACTGTAAGTGAGTTGAAGTGTCCACATGGGACCTGTCGGTCCATCGATGTCCATCGGCCGACATGGGCCAGTCTGGTCAGGTGGGAGCGACAGAAAGCACAGCACCGGAGTCCGGAGTGGAGGTGCTGTAGGATGTGGCCCCTTTGAGCTGAAGGCCGAGGGTTCACATACTCATCAAATGTGAAGAAAGAAACCCTCCGCTCCAATGACTCAACTTTTCCGGTGTGACTGGTGACCACTGCTACTAGTACCAATGACTAAGCATCTAGACCGAAAGGGGTGTGCACTGGGGTGTGCTTGACAGTATATACTGCATGTACATATATATATATATATACACGTTCAGCACGGTTTGAGGAACTTGTTGGCCATCCAAGCATCGCAAACGCCATGCCGAAGTTGGACTTCCCACAAGTGCCAACGATAGTCGCTGAGCCACTTGAGGGCCTCATTTTGCCGATCTTGCAGTTAAAAGGCAAGTGCCAAATCAGAACTGCAAGGTTTCAATAGTCACACAGCCATCCAGCAACACGAGACTTTTGGATACTTTTGGATGGCAAAACAATACAAAAAAGAGCTCACAAGGGGCTTTGTGAAAACACAAGGCCATTCTCATGCTCCCAGGTCGAAGTGTGAAGGACGGAGGGTTTGAGAAACCACCCATCCCCTGGTTTCACCGGATGTCAGGCGGCTCCCCACCCGCGCCTCCTCTAGAGCTGACGTGCCCAGGTCACCCCGCGCGCTGCGGGCGCTGCGGGCGTCCTCGCGTGGCTCGGTCATCGCTGCGACCAAGGCTGCCAGGTCGGCGGGCTCAAGGCCTGGCGAGCAAAGGATGAGATGAACCCAGAACATCCACGTCTGGCACTGATCATGACCTTCTCAGAAGGTATGCTTGCTCCCTCCTGGCGCCGACATAAATCGTCTCCAATCACCTTCTCAGAAAGTATATGGATCCGTAGGAAAGGGGGGGTTTGGTTGGACCTGCCAAGGGCAGTGCTGAACATCGGAACCAGTTGGCATTTTCGCTGTTCGGAGAACAGCCAGTTCCTCTCGGGCGTCGCGGACCCTCCGGAAAAAGAAGGACTCTGCTGCAGGTGGATATGTCCAGGGCTTGGCCGCTCCGCGGGCGCGATATATCGAAACACATGACCCAGACGCTCCATGTATGCCATATTTGCCTACATTGGGGTGGTTTGGGGGGTCAATGTAGGCATATATGGCATACATGGAGCGTGTGGGTGAGGACACCAGGAGTCACCAAGACAGGACGGTTGATCTAATCCCATCCAGGGGCCGTGGATGTGACAGGGGCACCCCGACTTCCTCCGTTCGTTCGGCACCCCGTCTTGTGACTCCTGGTATATCAAAGTCGGCCGGTTTGACCTGAAGGAGCGACAGGGACTTCCGTCACCTGAAAGGGTCTCCAAGGCTCCGACTTGTGGGACCGGAGGCATGACAGTGGTTTCAGAGCTATTTGCACAAACCCCCTACATGTCTTTTCTATGGGGGTCCTAAACCACCAAACTTGGGGATTGTGCCATCTACTACTCTGAAACCACTGGAATTCACAGTTATGACCCTACACTCTGAGGAAAAAATACATGTCATGGAAGTGGAGTGAAACCCACCTGTGTGGAACCCGGATTTCATGGTCATCCTTTAGGGCCCATGCCATCCACATCGTCCACTTTCATGATTTCTTCTGGGCGTGTAATGCAAGTTTTTAAGTCTTCCATAGTATTCAAAACCAGGCCAGGACCTTCCAAAGGTCCTGGTACATGCATTTTCTGGGAAGGAGTGCATGTTTTTAGTGAAGTGAGTCGATCAAAGGCGCTCGTCCCATCCAAGGACCCCCCCACCAATTCCTGCTGGATGCTCCCTGCCGCCCGCAGAGGGTCCAAGAAGAACAAGCTTCCAGCAGAGGTGGGTCAGAACCCTAGTTCGACTATCCTAGAGGTACCCCTGGTTGAAACCGGGTCCTTGTCGTTCGGTCACGGGCTACCTCTGTAGGTGGTCCATCTCTGTCATCTGCTTGGAAGATGTCCTCACCCTGCCAGCTGCGACGCCCCCCATGTGCGATCCCCCGACATCTCCAGGCCTGCCGTGATGTCCGGCCCCAAGGGTTTCGGGAGCAGGGCACTGAGCCACAAAAGGTTGGCCTCAGGCGGTGCAAAGAGATATATGTATATATATATATATATGTATGTGTATATATCCCAGGCACAAAAAAAATATATATAACGTTTTTTTGCTTAGAGCTATGAACAATTTGTATACGTTACATGTTGTATCCCAGACACGACCAGTCTGGGACTGCCATATATGCCGATCAGTTGGGGTGGTTTGGGGGGTCATTTAAGCATATATGGCGGTCCCATGGAATGTCTGGTATATATATATATATATCATACACATGCCGGAACAAAGTCCTGACAGTGCCCCTCCACAAATTCACCTGGTAACTGGTAGCCTAGAAAAATAGGGTAATTACAGCGACCAGTGATGACCTTAGTATGTTTTGTAGCGCTCGGAGTTGTCATCCAAATGCCAAACACAAACTGATACATCCTGGCTCATCCAAGCTGCCCCTCGCGTAATTCCATGGGCTGCCGCGCCCTTAGCAGTACTCTCCAGGAAGCGGCCATCACCAGCGTCCACCGTGGAGCAAAGAAAACCTTCCTGAGCGTGGCAGGTCATTCTAAGCAGCGTCCAAACTGAATCAGCCCCAGTCCAATTTCGGTAGACCTTGTTCCAACTAAAGGTTATTATGCGCAAACCACTGCGCAAAGCAGTTTTCATGGGTCCATTCGTCCATGATCCAATGTTCCAAGTATGTCAAAGTATTTCTATCCAGGCCTTTGGACCCACAAATCTTGGTCGTTTGGTCTCCCTCGTCCACCCATCCCATGCCAAGCGTCCTCCTCCAGCACCGCGATGTATCTTTGAAAGCTCGACCACTGATGTCCTGAACATGCTCGAGTTTGCAGAGAATGGGACACGGTAACTTTTCGGTGTTGGGAACGAATCACTGCTGTATATATATATATATAATACGCACATATTTCTGTTGAAATAGGTTGGAGGCCATCGCTATTAAAGGTTGGAGGCTATCGCTCGTACGTTGGAGGCCATGCCAACTTGCTATTGAATGTGTTTATAAACATATTTAGTAAAGAAACAAACTCTCTATATATATATGGTTGGTTTCCAAAACGTCTTTTCCCAAAATGGTGCACTCATCGCAATTCCATGGGGGCCCGCTTCTAAATCTCCTTTAAACTCCAACCACACTCAAACCACAGGGATGCCCTAAGGATCCGAGAATCTACTTTTCATGGCTGCCAGCCACTTTCCAAGGTTCTGGCCCCCTAGAAGCCAATGCTGGAAGATAAGATTTGTGGCTGGCAGCTAAGATTCATGGCTGGCAGCCACAAATCTTATCTTCTCAAAACTGGCTGGCAGCCGTGAAAAGTAGATTCTACTTCTAAATGTGGCTTCTGCCAAAACTCATGCTACCACCTCCAAGAAGCGCTTCTGGGAAGTCACTTTTTGTGGCTTCCCAGAAGCGCTTCTTGGAAACACGCTATTTGATATGTTGCAGCTGTTTGGCTTTAAACAAGCTAGGTCTTGATGTCAGGAGAAGCAACGCTGCCCATCTCCCAGCCTGCAATAAAGGCAGATATCAGCAAGCTGGTGGCCTTTGCAAAAGGCTTCCCTGACTCTTGCAATGCAAACCTGTGGTCAGCTGACCCTGCAAAAGCCTGCACAAGGCATGCATTGTTTTTGGGTGTGTGGTTCAAGCATGGGGCTTTGAGCAAGCCTGTGGAAAGGCAAGCAATGAAAGAAGCCAGCCATAAATTGACCACATCAGAATGCAAGTTGATCGTGAACCAAATTCATGAATGCAAAAACTTTCTGAGAAGAAAATGGAAAAATCTCAAGACTGGAGAAAAGACCTCTGGTCTTTTGATGGGTTTGATGCAAAGTCTGTTTGGCATTCCACAGCCTGCAGAAAGGCCAGTGAGAAGGCTTAACCAGAAGACACCAAAAAAGAAAGCCCTTCAGCCTGCAGAAGAGAAGCCTGAGCAAGGCCCAGCACATCACTTTTTTAGAATCCCCAGCTGCCATTCTACCATCAGACCAAGAGGTGGTGGAAATCGAAAGTACAGCTGCAAGCACAGCAGTGACACAACAAGATCTGGAGCCTGCAAAAAGGCCAACGTGCAAAAAAGTGCCAAAGAAAGTGCCAGCCTGCAAAAGGCCAAGTGCAGCAAGAAAAGCCAAGGCATGTTGGAAGAAGAGCCTTTCCTTTGGGTTTGTTAAGGAAACCAAAGCTTCAAACAAGGCTTCCATTGTGCCCAAGCCTGAAGAAGGCAGCAAGCCAACTTGCCTGGTGAATGTGCAATTGCCTAGGGGTCCTGACCAAGACAGAGTCATGTCTGCACTTATGGCTAAAGCCTGTGAAGAGGCAAGCCTGGAGAAAAAGCAGCTGGTCTCATACAAAGATCAGCTGCTGAAGGACATGGCAGCACAGCCTGCATAAAGGCACCCCTTGGTGAGGATCAAGGGACAGACAGCAAGCCATGGCGATGGAAAGGCAGGAGAGGGAAAGAAGAGGCCTTGAGCCTGGACCAAGGCAGTGCAGGGCAAGAAGCAAAAGCCAGCACAGGCCAAACCCTCCAGAACCTCCTAAACCAAGGAGGGCTCAGCCTGCGCACGGCACACCAGCCCAGCCTGAACAAGGCTGTTTCCAGAGCAATGAAGAAAAACCAAAGCCTGAACAAGGCCCAAGTCAGTCAACAGCTACAAAAGAAGAGACAGTTCCAGAATGCAAAAAGCCCAAGCCCAATGCAGAAAATGCATCAAAGCCTGCAGAGGCTGAGCAGGCAGTGTAGCCTGAGCCTGCAGGAGGCCAGAATGAGCAGCCTGCACAAGGCCAGAATGAGCAGCCCAAAAAAGGAGGTGATGCTGCTCATGATGGTGCTGATGATAAAGGCACTCTGGGTTTCTGAGTGGGCACTGCACAGCTCAAGCCTGAACAAAGGCCAGCACACCCCATGGCTGAAGCCTGAACAAAGGCCAACTCCACCACTGGTCAGCTCAAGCCTGAACAAAGGCCATTCAAAACCACAGCTGTCTTCTTAGCCTGGATAAAGGCTTGTACAGAAATGGAGCTAGTGGTGGTGGTTGGTAGCTTTTGGATTAGGGGAAGCCTGGAACAGGTATACTACTTGAGATGTGAGTGGTTCACCCCCAAGGTCTTGAAGGTGAGTGGTTCACCCCCAAAATTGGCAAGGTGAGCCTGCAAAAGGCCAGAAACACCAAAGCAAAAAGTACAAAAAAAGTACGAAAATCGTACTTTCGTACTTTTGTATTTTTTGATGTTTTTATATATTTCCTTTTAAATTAAAAGGAAATGTATAAAAAGTACAAAAGTACGAAAGTACGATTTTAGTACTTTTTCGTACTTTTTCTTACTTTTTGGGCCTCTCAGCATCTCTGCTGCAGCTTTTGAAAAATCAAGGGCAGACCACCAACACACCAGAAAAGGACCACCAACACACCAGCACCTTCAAACAACCAACGCCACACAACAAGCACAAACACACCAAACCCGGCACCCATGCCACCTAGAAAGAGGCGGACCACCAGAGCCTGAACAAGGCACCATTGTAGTGAAGCAAGACACAGCCACTCCTCACAAAGACAAGCCTGAGGAAGGCACCCCTACCAAGGATTCTGCAAGGGGCTCACCCCAAGCACCCAGAATCAGAATGAAAATTTCACCAAAAGCTCTAGCCAAGGCCAAAGCCAGGGCCAAGGCCCAAAGTCAGCCTACAGAAGGCCATTATGAGGCACCTGACAGGGAAGCTTGGAAGGATGCGCGCTATCAGCTGCAGAAGCTGGAGAAGGCTGGAGTCTGCACAAAGTTGGCCCAATGCTGTGCAGATTGTGGTGAGCCTGCGCAAGGCATGGTGCCTCTAGGTATTCATGGTGATGGAGTGCCTGTGCAAGGCAGAATGAATCAATCTAGCTTGGATTTCATCACTGTCAACCTCTTGGCCTCAAGGCATTCACAATTGAGAGTCCCCCTTACTTGTGCTGATGCCAAATTCATTGCAAGGCCAGAGACCACGCAGGCCATCTTGGAAGTTCTTGCTTGGAGCCTGAAACATTTGGTATTGGGAATGCAGCCTGCAATAAGGCATGATGGTGCTCCTTTCGAAGAATCCTTTCGATTGACAAGAATTGGCAAAAGCCTGCGCAAGGCTGTTGTAGTTATGATGCGAGGAGATTGGGATTGGAATGTAAAATGGTATGGCTGTCCTATGCACAATGTCAAAGTAGGAATGCGTTGGCTGTGCTCCTGCTGGAGATGCCAAACATTAGACCAGAGAAAGAGCCAAAGCCTGGACAAGGCCCAATTTCTGGCAAGCCTGGAATTGAGAAAAAAGGCCATAGCACCACTTTTCCATGTGAACCCAATTACCAACCACACCATAGTCCCTGATTGGATGCAGGGCAAGTTTTGAACGCTTTGTTGCCCTGCTATGAAGGGAAGAAGCCAGAAAAAGCAAGCAGATTGTGGGCACATATTCAGACTATCTACTCAGAGTTGGGTTTCCCAGCCAATGCGCAATTGCCCAAACTCACTCTGCTTGACATTGTAAAGCCTGGGAAGGCCCCTGAACCTGCAGGCAGGGGATTTTGAGCACTTTGACAAGTGCACACAAATTTGACACAGGCACCAGCCTGCAAAAAGCAATCCACAAAGTTGCCACCTTCACCACCCAAGTCTATCAGCACATGGAAGCTTTCAATGGCAGGAAGCTGGCCTGGCCACATATGGAAGGGCATTGAAGAGCCAGTACATGGCGCTGGAATCTCACATTCAAAGAGAAGATGAAAATGATGTTTGTTCCTGGGATGCCAAGCCTAAGTGGCACTTGGCTGAGCATTTTTTTGATTTAGCCTGGGAAGGCCACAACCCTAAGGATTTCTGGAATTATCCTCCATGCAGCAGTGGGCACTCAGAAGGGGTGGGAAGAGAAATGCAAGCAGCGAAGCAGAGAAGACCCTCCTTTGTTTCATGAATGACACACCCCCTCTGAGTGTCAACTTGCCCAGCTCAGCCTGAAGAAGGCCCAAATCCGATGTCCAGCTTCAGCCTGAAAGAAGGCCATGCAACCATAGGTACAATATGTTTCACCTTGTCTCACCCAGTTGTGCCAAGGAAAAAGATGCACATGCTGATTTGCAGAAGCCACTTTTCATGGCTTCCCAGAAGCGCTTCTTGGATTCCCAGAAGCGCTTCTTGGATTCCAAGAAGCGCTTCTGGGAAGCCACATTTTGTAGCTTCTAGAGTTCAAAACCCGGACGCTACTTTCCATGGCTGCCAGCCTAAAATCTTAGCTTCCACCAGAAGCTATTTTTAAAAGTGGCTTCTCGGATCCTTAGGGTGTTCAATATGAAGGCATGTCAACTGCAAAAATTTTGAGAGGTGTCTAGCGCGGACCTTTTCAGGGGCCTGTTGAGCTGCTGGAGCTGTTGTTGTTGTTGTTGCTGCTACTGCTGCTGCTAGACTTCTGCAGTTGTTTCCAATTCTCAGAAGTCTTCAGAACGACATAGGGAGGACGTAAGAGCTGACTCAACACATTCAGGTGTTGGATGGGCAAATGGTCAAGAAATGGACCGTCGTCTAGCGCGGTGCTAGCGCGGATCTAGCGCCAGCTCTCCGCTCTCTGCTTGTTTCTTCTTTGCTTATCCTGTTATGAAGAAACCTAGCGCCAACCTAGCGCCAATCTAGCGCTGCCTTGCTGTATCGTCTGCTGGGGGCCCGCTTCTAAACGAATACTTAAAACTCATCAAAGTTTACGTTTATCTAAAATTTTTGAGTAGGGCTTTTTGAGTGCAGTCCATATACTATTTATTATTTTTGTATGATATAAAACTGGACGGTGGGTTAGCCATCAATGCTAAGGTGCATCTCAAAAGAACAAATCCCTCACCAATATAACCCGTCGTTATCAGCCATTGTCAATGCTCAATAAAACCTCGTCGTTATGTGAAACAATTATATATATAATATTAAAGGAAACAGTAGTGGAACAGTGACTAACACTAAAACGTACAAAAAAAGTCTCATTAAAGTATTGATGTGTGAGGGTTTTTGAAGAACACTCCAAATATATAAACACATATAGAAACCAATTCTGACACCCGGGACCGTGCGGTCCTTTTCGGGGCTGGTGGCGTGCCAGTTGAGCCAGGAGCGTGTTGCGGCGGTGAAAGGCCTCCAGCAAGGCCTCGGCAGCCCATGGGACGCGGTGCTCCAAGAACCTCCTCTCAAAGTATTTGGAACCTCCAAAGATCTCCAAAGTCATCCCGAAAACACCTCTTTTGAGGTACTTTGCAGCAGAAGACGCCTGTCATGTCAGGTAGGTCTTTTGGTTGGTGCGTGGTTGGATCGTGCTGTTGAAGGAGGATGTTTCTATGTGAGTCTCTGGGTGGCATCAAGGGCAGGTCACTCGCTGGGCCTCTCCCCAGCCCACTGGGAATGCTACGGAAGTGTGGCTTCGCTCTGGCTCTGCTCGGCTGTGTCCATGTCTCCGGAAGCCTGTCACTTATTACACTGATACCTCGTGTCGGACTTGGAAGCTCAAGGAGCTCACCTGACTTTTTGCCCTGGAAGGGACATGGAATCTCAAAACCATGGGTTTGGAGAGGTTCCAATAGTCTTCCAATCCCAAAGGTCCATTTTCAGGTTCCATGCATGTTAAATTGCCCGGGGGCACCGCTTCCCCCCATGTCCACATCTTCCGTCAAGTTTCCTCCCTCAGCTCAAGCTGATGCACACGATGCCCTGATCAAGGCTGTGCGGCACCGAAAAACTATGGAGAGTCACCACAGTAGCTGTGACTGTGGATGGTGGCCAACAGCGAGCGAATAAACAAGTGAGGGAGAGTCAGCAGTAGCAGTAGCAGTAGTGTCGTATGAGTATGAGTAGCTCAGTTTCTTTTCAGGAATTAACAGTTGCATGTCTTTTTCTCCGGCCCTCTGAACAATTCTTTAGTTAATTTCGCCAGGGTTTGTGCACTCCCATTCACAAATTGTTCGGAGCAATGATGTCGATGAATTTAAATAAGGGTTTTGAACACGGCTTTCAGGCCAGGGTTCCGGGAACCAAACAAAACCTCCCAAAAGGTTATTCAGGCAAAGATCTGAAAGGGAAGCAGTAGCTGACAATAGAAAACTCAATCAATAAACAAACCAAACACAAACCAAATGTCAAAACGTCTTCGACACCTGGGTGACAAGGTCCGGCTGCTTCTGCTGTTCCCCACCCCCCAAACAGTATGACTTGGGTGTTGGAAGAAGTTCGGGAAGACTTGTTGCGACACGACTTGACTACGACGTACGACTCTGTGGGGTTGAACATGGATGGATACCGTCATTCATTGATGGAAACCTTCCCAAGCAGGCAGTTAGCAAAAACAACCGCAAACATCTTACTGTACTATTAAACTATTAATTGGTTAGTGTCAAATCTTTCATTAAGCGTATGTGTCAACCCCAACACAGCAAGCGGCTAATGAGTTGGAAACTGTTTCTTGACTCCTTCGGTTTCGATACAGACCTTTGGCCAACTGTGGGGTAATCCAGCGATGAAACGAGGAAATGCAATCCCCAACAAGTTTTGGATCATGTTTTGAACATCCACTGGGTAATTAGATAGTTATATAAATGTATAGTTGGTTCAACAACCATGTTTAGCATATCTCTGACCAGCTTGTAGTTACAGGCAAACGACCGAGAACTACCAACAAGTCGCACCTGGTTTTCCTTGAGCCAAACGGTAGGTAAGTGAGACATGTATTAGACATCCTAGCGTGAAACAACACCCCCCGCTGAACGAAAATGGGAGGAGTGAAGTTATGTACAGTGCACTAATTAAGGACCTACGAAGGTATCCGGTCCCCCGGTACGTGCGATGCATCGAACCGGGACGTGCCTTGAGATGGAGAGGATGGTTGACCTCAAGGACGGATCACACAATGCACTGTCATGCTTTGATGCTAGGGTTGAACATGTCTCAACTGATTCATGCATGAAAGTTCAAAGCAAGCTCACAAAGATAATCTCTTTTGCGCAGCGGAACTGGGAGTGCAATGCCAACCTTTTAGAAAGCAGGAACAAAGCCATCAAGGCACACGCTCCCGCGTGGCGACAAAGCACAGCAAAAGATGTGCGCTCTTCATTGCAAGGATTGAGAGCCAGGTTCATCGACCTGAACTCAAACGAATTAGCTGCTGGTTTCAGGCATCCGGTCCCCCGGTGCATCACAGAAACGGTCATCCAGGCAACCGCTCCCGCGGTGCGTTGAGGGAAAAACACAGTGCACAAAGATAGCCGAGTCACCCGTAGATTTCATTCTCTTCTCCACAGGCAACAGCTCCCGCTGTGCGTCGTGTTCACCACCTGCGCTGACTCCACCAGTCATGTCCTCGCCAGTCACTGCCACGACCGCGATCATCTTGCCACCAGTTGCGGTTGGATGAGGACCACCAGGAAGACGATGAGGATGACTGCTGCCAATCATGGTATTGATCACTTCCGGCAGCTCCTCGCCAGCGATGCTCTGATGTCTCGGCTTGAGTACGTGTTGCTCTGGCCAGACTTTCACCTGGACCTGGTGCGGCCTTGGCCTTGGGAATCACAAGTGCCCTTGTTTCTTTCACAAGGTTGATATCCAAGCCAGGTACAAATTGAGCATCGCCCATCACGAATTCCAGGAGTTCATCCAATACGTCATCAGGGTCTGTCTTCTCACTTCGCCACTCACCTCCAAATCCCAAGATTGCGGGTCGTTTTGTACCTTGACAATAGTCCGCAGCGAAAGTCTCAGGTCGGTGCAGCCTGTTCTTCCAATAAATGAAGAAGTCCTCGCTCAGGTCAGCATCATTCCCTTTTGCTGGTTCGTTCATGAAGATGACTTTTCCAGCGTATCGATGACCGACGCCTCGAGCAATCATTTCCCTTGTCCTCGGAGGGTCAGGGATGACGATCTGATAGGCGTTCCAGGAATTGAATGCAGATTGGAGAGAGGTCCTGGGCCGCACAGTTGAACGCGTAGAAAGCGTCAGTCAGCTGTCGCTGCGATACTGTCATGGACATTTTCTCCGCCTTCTGGACATGGCTTTTGGCGTTCGCTTTCAAGATGTTGATGCCCGAACGAGAAGCACGTTGAACTTCATGGCCAGGCGTCCCCGCCGGCGTCCTCCTCACACCTGTTCCTTGCAGCCTGTCCTCAGGTACCATGTCCATCGTGACTTCGATACCGAGATCGGATGCAATTTCCTCGATCCGAATGAGCTGGGCAGCTTTACACAGATCCGAGGCATTGTTGAGGAAGGTGCCGCATGTGATGCAGGACATCATGCCATGGGTGTAGGTATGCGTGCACGTCGGGCATTGATCTTCTGGCATCTGAATGCCCTCAACGACCATCCATCGAGTGTTGCCATACCCCTCGGCTTCAGGGTGGATCTTGCGCCAATCAAACCGTGGTCGGTTGTAGTTGGGCAGCATCTCTTTGGGTGACACTTGATTCTTGTAGGCGTTGAAATTGGGCCTGCGAACGACATACGTGACCTCGTATGTTTCTAAATCAGGATTCTTCTTTCCTGATACCATTTGGTCTTTCACGCCTGGGCGTTCAAACAGTTCACCGTACACGAATGGGGAAAAGGTGTCCACCTTACCGCACCATCTCTCATAGTCACCAAGGACGTGGTAGGTGTACTTTTCCAGTGGGCTTTTCACCATTTCATCGTCATCGGCAACTGGTCCCCCAGTGCGTGCTGAATTGAAGGCTTTGGTTTCACCGGTAATGATACCGCGATAATGTGCGTACACATGGTTTGCGAAGGCGTAGCATCGGGATTCCATGTCATGCACGTAAATCACGTTCCGGTTTGCCAGCCAGTCAGGGCATAGGATTGTACCAGCAGTTGTCTCGATGAGCCGGTGCCCGTTCAACATCATCATTTGGAGATCCAAGGCAACGCAGATGGGGCGAGTCGCCGCCATCGCTGCATAATCAGTGCCCGAAATTGTCCACGGATCTTCCTTCGTCAAGAATGTGAATCTGGCTCCAGTTCGATTGCCGCCTGGAATCAATCCCATGTTGATTATCTCAACCAGTGCTGCCCGGTGCGTGTAGTGATAGAGGATGGTGGGGGCCACCTCCTTCACCTTTCCCAGCGCACCTCGCGGAACCCGAGGGAATTTGCCGGCCTGGTATTCCACCGAAGTATACTCCTCGTCGAGAGTGACAAAGCGTTCATGCTCAGGAAGTGCGTCTTGCACGTTGTTGCTTGACCATTCATTATGGTTCTGAATCGCTTTGATCCGGAGAGGTGTATATTGGTATTTTCCACCGACCAAAGTCCCCTTTGGCGCAATCCTCACCTCGAGCATGAATCTGTGATTGGATGTAATGACCGTCAGCAGGTCATCGTTGGTAAGGTTGACATCGTATTTCCGCTTGATGAACGAGTACACCTTGCCAAAATCCATCCACAGCCCAGCGTCGAAGCTTGGAGGCTGCACCTTGTGCCAGGATTGTTTACTATGCTCCCATCCGCGGAGCAAGCCCGAGACGCGTCGGGAAATCCAGACTTGTTTCGAGTTCAGATTCGCCAAATTGGCAGCACCAGGAACCGATCTTGACTGCAATGCCACAACTTCGTTTTCCCCAAGAGGCGACGAAACGGGAGGCACCGGTGGTGCCCGAGGCATGGCCTTGGCTTTGACAGCTGGTTTTGCTGTCGGAGTCGAATCCGAGGCCACAGCTCCCGCCGGGCGTTTTGGTACTTTGGGCTGAGCTTCCTCTGTTGGCTTCATCTCAACATCGGCCTCAGCTCCCGCCGGGCGTGCTTTTGTCTTCGGTGATGCCGGTTTTGTTTTCGACTTTGCAGTCTCACTTGGCACTTTTGGTGCCCCCGGCTCACCTGATGCCTTCGCCTTTGGGATCCTCGGTTGTGGTGCCTTGTTGGCCAGGTCGGGCTCGTTCCCCAGAGTCGTAACCTCACGGAACTTTCTGAGTGCTTCACCAGTGAGCTGAGGGATGTCTTCTTCCGCCATGTAGATGCGAGTGACATCGCTTTCATCCTCCTTCTTCCTCAACTGGTAGGTCACTCCGGCGACCTGACATGAATCGGCATGCATGGATGTGAGAATCGGTTCCTTGAAAACAATCTCCTCATCTGAGTCATCATCTGGCTGATCTTTGTTTTCAAAGCCCTGCTTGATGGCGGAGTCAAGGTGATCTTTGAGAAGTTCATTGACATAGTTTTCATCCGCAATGGGTTCATTGGATACATGAAGCTCCTCTTCTTCCGTGATGGTAACAGGGTCCACCTCGGTGTCACCGTGCTTCGGCATATCAGCGGTGACGGACACGAACTCCATGCCCGGAGTGCTCACGGGAGCCTGGTTGTTTGCATCTCGACCTTCCGTCCCCGGAGGCGAATCAGCGCTGGGCGCAAAGGTGTCGTCAATCTCAATGACTTCCGGCACACTTGCATCCGGCATTTTCTGATCAGCCGTCGACGGTTCAGCCGCGACTTGCACATCCTGACCCTCGTCATAGACATCCGGACCAACGGTTCCCCGTGGCATATTGTATAGTCGCTGATTGAATGGCAAGAGCTTGGCAGCTTCAATCTGCTCCTTAGTCGCATAGACGGGGTCCCCGAGATCATCCATGTGAGCGACCTCATCAGTCTCAGAGACCGTCAGGAGCCAGCCATTCTTTTGGTCAATGGCAGTTTGCCTTTTCTGTCCCGGGACAATTTCATA